GTCTTTGGAAACTACAAATTCACTTTTTTAAAGAATCTTTGATAAACCCGTTTCAAGTAAAATCAGTGCAGAAATGCATGGCATTTTTCAAAGGACATAAAAGGTGTTGAGTCCCTCCCGCATATCACCAATCCCCTCCCCCCATCGTTCAAGAATAAACAATTTGTTTTAAAACTCTAGACATTATTTTATTATCTAACTGGCTAACAAAAATCTCTAATATTGAACTCTTCGACTTAATTATTTTGGGTGGGTGGTTGGCGGGTGCTCTGGTGTGGTTTGCTTCTTCTTTCCTATCAAACATCTATCGTCCTTATCTCCCCTCCTTCTTTTTTGTGTTTGTTACTCTCTTGTAACACCTCTAATCTTCTGGCGCTCATATGACCTTATGCAGTTACGAGCGCCGTAAAACCTCTACAAAAAAAATTTATATATATATATTTTGGCGACGAGCGTCTTATTTCACCGCGACGACACACGATTAAAAATGACTGCATAAACATAATTATCACAGACCGTTTTCTCGACAAAAGCACAAGTGACCACTTTATTAGCGTCAGATTATTGCAGTCATCAGAGGACAGAACAAGGGCGGACAAAATGCCTCAATCTGTTATTGCTTGAGAAAAACAATATTATTTTTATAATACATTAATATGAATAAACAAACAATCAGGTAAACAGAGAAGTAAGTTAATATAATATATTTTGCAAGTAGGATAAAACGTAGATAGACTGACAGATTGCAAGATAGACAGATAGATAAATGGAAAGACGGAAAAAAACCCCGTCAGCCTTGAAGATGAACATAATATCGATAAACAGCTAGAGAGATTAAAACTTATCAGTTGAAATACAGACGGGTCGATCGATTTTAACAAATGGTGAAATGGTACAGGCTAAACGCCTCTAGCAACACTGTTAGGTTATTTAAGAGGCGGGACCTCCGAGTTTAACGTCCATCTCCGAAAGGACCGAGCCAAAAATAGGAAATTCGTGAAAAGCACCTTTCTTTAAGAACACAAAGTCGGGCTGAGCTGAGGCTTTAAACAAAGAACCTGCAAATCACAATTGGTCGCTTTTAAACCCAAGGGGGCTATCCCGAAAAATTCTGTTTTGGGAAAAACGAAGGTGAAGTTTTTGCCCCTTGTTCAGTTTAAAGACAAGGAGAGTTTTCTCTATAACCAAACAAATATACACACAATTGAAACCAAACTTCTCCTATAGGTAGGGCAATGCCCATTTTCGGTGAAGGTCGGGATATCTGGAAACCCCCGAAATTTGGGTTAGCCCCCTAGTCCATAAAAGCGACCAATTCCAGGTCTAATAACCTATCCACTATGCTTCCCAGGCCACATAAATTATCTCTCTCGAGCAGACACGACTCACACTAAAGATTAAGAAAATGCCATTATTTTTTTTAACCAAATAAAAATTAGGAGCTTTGTTCATCTGAGTAGCTGACCGACAATAATAACATACGCATTAATTTTTTTTAAATGCCTTTCGCGCTGCAGAAGAATTTTGTACGTACAAATTAGTGCACATGGTCGTTTTGATAAAATCCCCAAACCGAACAAACATTTTCAAAGATTGTAGAAGACCATGAGGAAATATCATCATATTCAAAGGCCACGTTAATCTTCTTTAGGTGTAACAGCCCCAACTTCTTTTTCCCCTCCTACCCCTCTCCTCCCCCCTCCCCTTCTTTCCCTCCCTCCCCCTCTCTCCCCTTTTCATACACCCATTAACTCCTTATCAAAGAAATATCTTCCCAAACGTAACACAAAGACAAAAAGACCAGTCAGTAGACAACCCAGAGGAGAGAAGATAGGACAGGACGTCTCATGTTTATCTAAGGAAAAAAACTTCACTCTAAAGTACGTAAGTGTACGGGTTTAACGCGCCTACCAACACTATAAGGTTACATTTAAGAGGCATTTAATTAACGTCCGTCTCCGATAGAACGGAGCCTAATGGGATATGAGAGCCATTTTAAAAACTCCACAAAACAACCAGAGTTCAAGAAAGCCCAGTGTGGGATTCGAACAAGGGCCGCCCACTTCGTAGCTCAGCATGACACCATCTGAGCTAACAGAGCACCCTAACATCAGGTCTCTGCTAACATCCACTACGTAGGCTCTAAATTCTAGAAGAGTTAAATATAGTTGGAAAGACAAAAAGATCACATAATATGTGTCACAACGCTGTTGAATCAGGTGCTCGTTAATATTCGTGCATTTCGAGTTATTAATGTCATCTTAAAGTTTGCTAATAATTTGTCTTGTCTTCGGCTAAAAAAATACCCATCCATCTTGAATAGAAGTTAAGATATTTGTGACTGAAGGAAGTGGGGATCAACCTATATGAAGTATAAAATTATCAAGAAAATGGCCGTCAAATTATGGTGACTTCAAAAGCTTGAGTGTCCTTGAAAACTGGAAATTTACATATTTTTTTGGTGCCTTTAATGAACGTTTTTCTGTAACGTCCACACAGAAATATGTTTTGAAAAGGACATAAAAAGTGTGTGTTAAGAAAAAAAAATCCCACAGAAAATTTGGACAAAAAATGCCCAACACCAGAAAAATGCCGGTTTCTTTGATTTCACTGTTTCGACAAACGCCTGATTTCACCGCGCTGCTTCACATATTAATATTATGTCCGCATAGGAGGATGGGCAAACAAATGACCAATATCCGGTAAACAAACTGTATAATATGTACAGAGTATACAGAAAAAAATACAGTATAAATGTAATTACTGTAAACAACTTCGCCCTCAAATTATGATTGGCGGTGGTACACTCGAGTCTGCGGACAAAATTAACGTCCGTTCGCCAAAAGTAGAACAAGAGAATGAAGCAATAAAGTATCCGATTACAGTAATGTAATGGCGGGGTTTTCCATAATATGAGAAAAATACAATGCTTCGTAAAGATGAAGAAAAGCTATGCTAGGAATCTAGTGGGTGGGTTTAAAAGCTGGACTCTGTCGTAAACGAAATATTGTTACATAATAACATTTAGAGATAAAGTATACCACTGTTATGTGGTAAACGGTTCGATATTCGGCAAAAATTCAAAACTAGAAACAGAAAAATGAACAGCCATAGAAGATTTCTAAAGTATGAAACACGACACACACATTTTTGGAGCAGCCAAGTTATACTGCACTTCAAGTAAACAAGATAATGGCTAGATCTACTTTCTGTCAGTAAAGATAATGAAGAAATAGTGTCAGTTAAAAAACTACAAACAAAACGAAACAAACTGGGAAGACTTCTAAATATGAAACACAATACATAATTATGTTGTTTAGAATAGCCAAATTGTAGTGAATGTCGACTGAACAATATAACGGTATTTTTTTCTGTTAGCAGGGATAAAAGAAACTTTGAAAAAAAAATTGAATATTTTGGAGACAATACGAAATGAAGCGGAATTTTTTGACAAGACACATATTTCAGAGCAGAAGAGAACGCCTTTTTAAAAAATTAAAAACCTGGAGCAAAACTAGCTCCGGGCAGAGAAAAGTGTCAAAGGAAATTACAAAGAAATGTCACAGGGGTACTGTCACAGTCGCAAGTTCCATGAAAACAATGACAATTGCCAAGTTACTTTTCCTGTATTTTTTACATGAAAAATAATATGTACCATCAAAACATGTTCTGCATTAATTATCTTTTTTAAACATGAACTGTAATAACAATGACAACTGCCATGTTTGGTTTCCTGGAGGGGGGG